TTCAGATATCTTCCTCAATTTCTTTCTTCAATGACTTAATGTTTTTATCATGCAAGTCTTTCTTTTACTTGCTTGGTTAGAGTAACCCCAAGATATTTTCTAGTATTTTAGGCTGTTGTGAAAGGTATTGTTTCCCTGATTTCTTTCTCAGCCTGTTTGATGTTTATATTTGATAAGGCTACTGATTTTTTTTTTTTTAGTTAATTTTGTATCCAGCTCGTTCCTGAAAGTGTTTATCAGCTGTAGGAGTTCCCTGGTGGAATTTTTAGGGTCACTTATGTATACTATCACATCATACTCCAATAAAGATTCTTTGACTTCTTCCTTTCCAGTTTGTACCCTCAATCTCCTTCAGGTGTCTATTGCTCTAGCTGAGACTTCAAGTATGGAGAGAGTGGACAGCCTTGTCTTGTTCCTGTTTTAGTGGAATTGCTTTGAGTTTTTCTCCATTTAATTGATGTTGGCCATAGGCTTGCTGTAAATTGCCTTTATTATGTTTACATATGTCCCTGGTATCCCTAATCTCTCCAGAACTCTTACCACAAAGGGCTGAAGGATTTTGTCAAAGGCCTTTTCTATATCTGATGAGATGATCATGTGTTTTTTGTCTTTCAGTTTGTTTATATGGTGTATTACATTTATTGATTTACATATGTTGAACCATCCCTGGGAAGAAACCTACTTGATCTAATGCTTAATTTTCTCTTTTCTTCTGTTTAAATTTCTGACCTGAGGCTCAAATGCCAACATATGTGAATCTCAAAATCTGTAAAGTGCAAGTACTAACTATGTTAACAATTATGTTATATAGTTAACAACTATTTTTATTCCAGTGGGTCTCTACCATTTGCAATGGGGTGGGGTAGGACAGCCTGAGAAAGTACAGTTCCCCTCTCTGTTACCTGTACAGATATTGGAGGAAGCAAACAAACCACCGAGAATCCGGTTCAATCACACTTCGAATGCCCCCCTAGACCTCTGGGATATGTCTTCAGATTCTCCTAGAGTTGGGTTAATGGCCCTCCTCTCGGTGTCCAAAATAAAATGAAATTAAAAGCCACTTTAAAAAAAAAAATGGCTGCGGATGGAGCATGGTTCAGAGGTTAACAATACTGGCTGTTCCTCCAGAGGACATGGGTTGGATCCCCAGAACACACACAACACTTCTGTAACTCCAGTCCCAAGAACCTAAGACTCTCTTCTGGCTGCCAACAGTACTGCACACACATGGTGCACAGACACACCTGTACTGCAAAATACTCACACAAATATAAACATTTACGGGCCCTCCCTCTTTGCTCAAATTCTTACCCAAACAGCTTTTCTTAATTGCATCTGAGAGCAGGTGATGCACACCCAGGTCCTTTATCATTGTAACCACCTGGCACATAGTAGGATCTGTGTCTGGAATGATTGACTTGCCAAGCACGCAGGGCATGGTCCCTTGGTGACTCGTGAGCAACAATGCGGCTCTTTGCAGACACTGGGGGCGAATTCCCGCTGCTGCAACCATGCAGGTGGTGTCCCTCACCTCTCCTGTGCGCTTTTCCTTCCTGGGGTCTGCATTCTCCGGGTGGCGACCGTCGCGTCGCTGTGGAGACCGGCGAGATGCGGGGAGGGAACTACATTTCCCAGCTACTCCGGTGCGCGCGGCCGGGTGCGGCGCGGGGTTGTGGGGGGTTGTGGGGGGGCAAGTGCACCAGGCCCGCTGCGCACCCAGCTCTGCTCCCCGCCGAGCTGGCCGCCCGCCCCGGCCTCCGCCTGGGGATGAAGTGGGAGGCGCTAGAAGCCACTTAGCTCCAGCCTGGCGCCCGCCCGATGCGGCGCTCGCTCGCTGCCCCCGCCACCCAAGCGCCCGCGAGGCACAATGCAGCACTGAGGCAGCGGCGGCTGCGGCAGCGGCGCGGGCCGGGAAGGGGCGGCGGGGAACCGGAGCCCGCGGCCGGGGCACGAGCAGCTGAGCGCCGCCACCATGCAGGCAGCGGCCGCCGCGTCCTTCTGGCTGCTCTGCGCCTTGGGGACCTGCCCCCTGGCAAGCTGCGGTCCGGCAGGTAAGTTCGCAGCTGCCCGGGCTGCTAGGACTCTTTGGAGCCCCGAGGCCCCCCGAAAAGCCTCATCCGCGTATCCAGAGTGCGCGGGTTTTTTTATTTTTATTTTTTGAAGGGCAGTGAGAAAGGAGCAAACGTGTGGGGGCTCGAGGATGCATCAGCAATCTGGGGTCAAATGCCTTTTTTTTTTCCCCTTGAAGAAGAGGAGAATGGGGAGAATGGGAAAGGGATGCCCTGTTTCTGGGCCCGGGGATGCTCTCGGATGAGCTGGTCCAGAGCTCTCCAGCTGGTGTCTCTGCGTCCTTCCCAGATGGGTCCTTCCTCGGGAGGGAGGAGGCGGGGGAATTTTCGTAGGGGAGATATAGGGTGGAGGACTGTGGGTCAGGGTAATTATTGTTATTATTATTACTATCTTTTGCCGTTTCTCTCTACTCCTGCCCTCCTGCCTGCCCGCAAGGAGAAGCCTCACTGAGGGAGCTGGAGAGGGCGGACGAAAACCGCTTCCTGGAGCGCCAGAGCACCGTGCCACTGCGCCTCATCTACCGCTTGGGCGGCGAGGACGAAACTTGGCACGACCGGCTCAACACACGGGTGCGGGGCCACCCTGGCGGCCAGCAGGTGAGCGGCGGGGTGAGGGAGGTGGTCTGTGGCGCAACCCCACGACCCCACGTTTGCTTAGGGTTGCCCTGGAGACACGGTGCACAGGGTGAAAAGAGCACCGTCCTAATGCGACTCATGCATGATGCTCCTGGTGCAAGAAGGAGGAGAAAAGGAGACAGAGAAAAAAGGAACCCAAAGAAGCACAGGCCCCGGGGTTTTGCAGAAGCGGGGGTTGGAGGGGATGGCGTGGATACTCCTAGTAGCCCAGTAATCTGAGCGAGAGGCGAGAGGCGGAGACCCCATCTCCTTAGTCAAGCAAAAACTGCATGAGGTAGGAGACATTCTGTTTGGGTAGGATTGCATCATCATCTTCGGTGTTTTAACTCTGAGAGAAGGCTTTATAACACAAGATAAGAAGAAAGAAGGGAGGAGAAGGAAACTAGGTATCCCTAAGAAACCCAAACAAAAATAAACTACGCTGCAAAATCCCCTGCCCACTTAGATTCGTGAACAACAGGGATATACCCGTTCACTCCTGACTTCCATAAACCGGTCCTTCCTACCTTTTTTACCTTTGTAATTAGGGGCTGTATTGTTATTGAGCACTTACTTTCTTAAACAAACAAAACAAAACTAAATTATCGCATTAATCAAACAAATGTACCTGCATTTAAATCGATACCAAACATCCATAGGTACGATTGAAAATCGTTTTGAAGTTACTGGCTAATTCTAGCAAATATTTTTGGGCCCATGTAAGTGTTTTTCTGGTTGCATGACCAACGAGCCTGACAGTTCATTGATCTGCAGGTACATCTGAAGCGCATGTAGTTGGAAACGGTTGTAAACTTTACTGAAGATAAGCTGGACATTTTCACATCATATAAATACACTCGACACTAACATAACTGCAATGTGCTAATGTACTCAGTTATTCACGTGTGTGAGAGATATAAAGACTGAAAAATATTTGTCTGCATTTGCAGCCAAATAACCGACTCCATTACAGTTTTGACCTAGGCAGAGGTTCAGGGTTACTTGTAGTATCCATTGAAGTTAGATGATTGTAGTAGAAAACTCTGTATGCCCATCCCTTAATGAAGGATTTTGTTATCCGAATTAATGTTTGGCAGCTGCCTATGTCTCTTCTTATTTTGACTTGTTTCCATGGAAAAACTACATAAGCAGGGGACTTGTGTCTTATTTCTCAGTAATAAATATTATTCCTGTGAAGGAATAGTCTGATGCTCGTTTGTTGCCTTTTATTAAAAAAAATCCAGATACACACAAACTAGACAGGATTATAGTGAGTTCTAGCTTCAGTGATTGGTGGCTTATAGTCTGTCTTGCTTTTGACTGTCTCCTGCTGTTCTTCTTCCTCTTTCTGTATCATTTTGATGCAAATGATGTATCATTTATTAAAATGTTCAGTAGTGAAACTCTGACAGGTAAGGGTTATTTTTAAAAATGTAACCCTGAATTGCCATGTTAAAAATAAGATTAATTCTTTAATACTATAAAGCAACCATTCTTTCAAAAACTTTTACTTGTCTCAAAAATATGCTTACATGTGTATAGTTTTTTTTTTTTTTTGCATTTTTTTCTCATTTTGAGCCAGCGCTGATATAAAGTGCATACTTAGTTTATTTAAGTCTATTTTAGTGTATGGTTTCTTCCACCCATGCCTTTATTTTTTTATTTTTAATTTTCATTGTAATTTGTTTACTAAGACATGAGGTCTTTCATTCTCTAGAGTTTTCCATGGTCTGGATTTTGCTGATGTAGGCAGTGTGTTAAAACAAGTCCCAGAGTCTTAGTGGGGAAGGAAAGGAAGGACAGACAGAATCCGAGATGCAGGAGGAGAGTGAAGGAGCAGACCCTGGACCTCGGGGTCTCTGCCTCATGTCATCACGACCCCAGTGCCTACTCCTTCTCTATGCTGGTGAAAGGCCACTAATTTTGAAAGACAGTTTTTTTTTCTCTTGGTGTTTTTAGAATACCACTTCTGAGATGTTTGGACTCGTATAGGCCTCTCCACTCGGGGCAGAAGGTACCATAGACCCTTCAGAAGAAAACCTCACAATTGGGAGAATGAGACTATTGTTTGATGGGACATATGTGATTTGGTAGAATTTAGATTAAATAGCATGCATAGATTATTAATTCAAGTCAGAAGTGGAAGTTATAAATACTATTTATAACTGTGACAAATTATTCTTGGTATCTAAAGGTGCAAATAGTGTATCTAGATGTCTGCATCAGCTAGGAAGTCAGTGTACTTAACCAGAATCCTTAAATTACAGTAGGACACCACAGAGAACTGACAGAATCACAAAGACCTACTCATTGCCGTATACCTGACATTCCTACAGTAAGGAAACTAAGGAGTTTTCTTGTCCATTAGGTGTTACTGGTTTCCAGAGAGCTGTAATTTAACCTGAAAATATTTTGATTTTATATAGCTCTTATTATTATTTTTATTATTTGATAAATAAGATAGAACTTTTGGCATTGTAAGTACCCATGGATACATTTTAGGAACTCCCATTGTCTTTCAGAAATAACATCTGGATGCTTTTTTCCCCCCCCCGTGAGCTCATAAGGCGTGTGTGTGTGTGTGTGTGTGTGTGTGTGTGTGTGTGTGTGTAATTCATTTCTTGACTCATTAAAAGGATTTTATTCACTGGAGCTCTTGCTATTTAGCATGTTAAAATAAGTCAAGGCCATGGGGATTTAGAGATAAAAGACACAGTTCTGGCCTTTATGGGGTTTACAGACAGCTGGGAGAATGAGTGAGTGGATGAACAATTACTCCTTGCCCTTCAGTCTTGAGGTGATTGCGGACTGCTGTGGAAACAGAAAGCCCAGCGCTTAACCCCTTGAGCAGTCAGTGGGCTCTCCCAGGAGGTGCTGTCTGGTCTGTGTTTTGAGACTAAGTTAAAGAATTGGCCAGATTACAGAGAGGGATGGGTATGTCCAGCAGAGGGGACAGCAGACATGGAGGCAAGTGGAAGTCAGGACTTGTCTTTGTTAGCTGCGGGTGGGTTTTTTGGGGATCAGAGTGAAGAGAGCATAGCTTGTGGGTGCTGCCGCAAGGTCTTTCTGTGGAGTTGGGACCTGGTTCAGCAGGCTGTGTGGCATTTCAGCAAGGAGGATTAGCTGGCCAAACTCATGGTCCTCTGTTATAGTCCTCGTGTCCCAGAAGAATCAGTGTAATTCCTAAGAGTGAGCAGGCTTAATTAGTCATTTTTAGTCACTGATAAATGCCCGTTCATATCATTAAGCTTCGTAGGACTAAGCTCCCAAACATAAATACACTTTGCCTGAGCGGCATTTTCAAAGCACCCAGATCAATGCTGGGCATACACTGAGTCTCCAAGAGTCTGTTAAGTAACAGCACCTCCCTTGGGCAGCTGGAAGACTGTTTAGAGGTTTTATGACATCATTTGAATGCAAATGATGCCCTAATGACCTGAATTTAACACATTCCCTGAAGTTACAAATTACTCAAGTTTTACATAATGCAGTGAAACTGAATAGCCTTAGTAAGACAGACCTTATAGGCCCCTTAAATTAGTTCAGAAATGACCTCTTACCTGACAAGCTCAAGTAACTGACCGAGGGAAGATAGTCAGTCACCTATGTAGTCTTAAATGGTTCCGTTCTTCAAGCCCACAAAGACTAGGTGAGGACCAGGCTTTTATTATTAATGTGAACTTGTTTCAGCTTTCATCCATAAATGGGAATCGAAAGCTTTTGTTATAGAAGAAGCTTTGTTTTGGTTCTGTGGGAATGATGACAGTTTAGTGTGAAATGGTGATTTTGTAGATACAAGTCCATATTGTGAAGTTTTTGTTTGTTGTATGATGAGTTAAGTTACTCCACTGCATGCTAATTCATATTGTAAGTGAGAGGATCAGTCCATGCAGAAGCTTATTATGCCATAAAATACTAGAAATTATAGTCAACATAATCATAGTTGATTGGGGTAAACTTGCTGTCTTCGAGGTTGTCAAATATGAAATAGTTCCAAGCTTGGAAAATAGCCCTGGGATATTCAAAATATTGAGTCTTTTTTCCCCTCCTGTCCTGACAGTATATGCTAAAAGAATTGCATGTTTGTGAATAGTAAGGTAAACGTATTTTTCTTCACCAATTTGTGTAAGGTATCATCTACTGGTTTTTACTGATGGTTTAATATTGATAACCCTGTAGTTGTTATTTAGAATATGCTCATTAATGATTGCTCTTTTGCCAGCTAAGCATCATAAATTTACTATAGCACCAGAAATGGGTTAGCTGATAACTTATTCGTTTACAGTTACCTATAAATTCTGTTATTTATTTTATACCAAGTAGTTTTGTATTTCTGCATACAACATAATTTCTTCTATCAGAAGTGTTTGTTGTCAGCCAGTAAAAGATCTGCTTTTTCTCATCTGGTCTTCTACAGATTTTTAAGGAATTGTCATGTGGCAATAGGATGTAGATCTGTAGTTCCACAGTTTTATAACCGCCAGTGAGCGAGGCAAAAAGCAAAATGAAGGCAGGGTGGCTGCAAAAGGTGTGCTCTGGTTTTGTGAATCTTCATATACGTGCTGTAGGATGGGTGAGCGGTCCTTAAAATTGTGCTGCTTCATCTGGGAGCCTTGGGTCAGCCTGACAGTCAGTTGTCTGCAGTACAGCTTCCCTAGGGGGAAAAGGGCTCCTAGGAATTACAGCTTTGAGGGTAGTTTGCCAGGATAGCACAGATCTCTTTTGCTAAACTAAGCAGCTCAATATTAATAAAGTTAGGCTATAAGCATCAGGAAAGAGATGTTTCACAGTGCGTTTTTGTAACCTACCAATTTTTGTGACAATTGAATAAAGTAAAAATAAAAATTGTAATATCCCTTAAGTATTTAAAAATAAGCTTCTTTTACTTTTATATCTATCATCTGTCTCTATCATCTATCTATCTATCTATCTATCTATCTATCTATCTATCTATCTATCTATCTATCTATCTATCTATCTAT